GTGTTGATGTATTTGTGTGCTGAAGAATGCAGTGGAATATTTTAGAATAGTGAAGAGCAATGCAACAGAGATCAGAGCTAACAATGCAGATGAGCTGAAATGTGCTTTCAGAGGAACCTGGGCTGCTATATGTCAGTAAACCCGGAGTTTATGAAGTAAATAGTGATATATATATATATATATATCTATATATATATATATATATAGATATATATCTATATATATACACACACACACACACACGCACGCACACAATATACACAGGTAGAACAGTCAGTTTCTTCAAAAATTTTCCATCTATGTAAACCAGCTGATTGCCAGGACTCATTGACTCTCTGCAATCCTCACACCGAGCATGCATGTAGCGAGTGTGGAGAGAAAAACTCCCTTTTAACAGGAAGAAACCTCCAGCAGAACCATGCTCAGTGTCAAGAGCCATCTGCCAAAGCCGACTGGGGTTCAAGGAGATGGAGGCAGTTAATGACATAAATTAAACAAGTTATTTGGCGCTTGGGCCCCGGCAGAAGACTTTAATGCTGTGAATCAACATTTGCTTGGATGAGTAACCCAGGAAAAGAATTAGAGCAGTCTTTCCCCCTGAAGGCCTAGACACTGGTGGTAGAAAAAGCCAAAGGGTGAGTTGGATTGAAAATAATCTGAGTGAGGGAGGACATGGGGTGAAGGGATTTGAAAGTTAGCTTGCGTACAGGAGCGAGAGGCTAGGCCAGGAACTAAATAAAAGGGATTGTGAAAGATGATTGGCTTCGGAGAAGCCAAGTTGATTGGCTGGAGCTCATCAGTGGACATCGCAGATGGTTCAGGTGACGCTGATAATAGTCTTCCAGATTGAATTTTTGCTTAAGCTTCATTAGTTTGACATAATATTGTAATTTTCTGAGAAAGTGAATATTGTGATTTCATTAGCTGTAGGCAAGAATTATCTTAAGCTAACTGAAACAAAAGCTGAAAACGTTTTCCAAATCACTGAGTCTAATGAACGTTTTCAATATACACCTACCCACCCATATACACCCCACCCACCTACACTTTACTAAGCTTACCTGTCTATCTGCTCGTTAACACAAATTTCAATTTAGCCATTCACATGGCAGCAACTAAATGCATATAGGCATCTAGACATGGTCAAGGAGATCTGCTGCAGTTCAAATCGAGAATCATATTTGGGAAGAAAAGTGATTTAAGGGGCTTTGAATGCAGCATGGTTCCAAACGGGCTGTTTGGAGTATTTTAGAAACATCTGATCTACTGGGATTTGCATGCACAACCCTCTCTAGGGATTACAGAGAATGGTCTGAAAAAAAGAAAATGTCCAGTGAGCCAAAGTTCTGTTGGAGCAAACGCCTTGCTGATGCTAGAGGTCAGAGGAGACAGGTCCAAGCTGATAGAAGGCAACAGTAACCCAAACAACCACTCGTTACAACCAAGATATGCAGAAGTGCATCTATGCACAACATGTCAAACCTTGAGGCAGATGGGCTACAGCAGCAGAAAACCACAGCTTCTGTGAGCTAAGAACAAGAAACTGAGGCTACAATTCACAGAATTGCAAAAATTGAACACCAGAAGATTTAAATGCTGCCTGGTCTGATGAGTCTCGATTTCTTCTGCGACATTTAGATGGTAAAAAGGTTCAGGTTGGTGGTGGTGTGATGGTGTCCGGGATATTTTCTTGGTACACTTTAGTACCAATTTAGCATTGTGTCAACGTCACAGCTTACCTAAGTATTGTTGCAGACCATATCCATCCTTTTATGACCACAGTGCACCCATCTCCTTTTGCTACTTCCAGGAGGATAACGCGGCGTGTCATAAAGTGTGAATCCTTTCAGACGGATTTCTTAAACAAGTTCACTGCACTCAAATGGCCTCCACAGTCTCCAAATCTCAATGCAATAGAGCACTTAGAGAGATTTCCACCATCGATGTGCAGGCGACAAATCTGCAGCAACTGTGACATGCTACCATGTTAATATAGGCTAAAATCTAAGGAATGTTTCCAGTACTTTGTTGAATCTATGGCACAAATGATTAAGGCAGATCTGGAGGCAAAATGGGGTCCAACCCGGAACTAGCAAGGTGTACCTAATACCATGGATGGTAAGTTTATTAATCAATTTAATCAATGAATCAATTTCATTAGGATGCGCTGTCGAAAAAATTGAAATACACAACAAATACAAGCTAAATATAGAAGCTTTTAGTAATTATTAGGAGGAGCATTAAAACTTTAAGCCACATTGCAAATAGAAACAAGCTGGTTTAATACTCAGACTATCTGCCTGAGTTGAGCCCTCAGTCAGCTGCTTGTCTGGCCTTCATGTGGAAACTCTATCATGAAGGCCTGATTGGTGAAGGATGACCCTCTGTATGACCTTTCCTGTCCCCATAAGGTAAGAGATCTGCCTTTTTGACTTTTGGCTTCTTTGTCATCTCTCTCACCAAGACCTAGCTTGAAAACTCTTAAGTTTAGTCCAGATCAGAGGAGGATCCTTGTGTTTCCTCTTCTTGCATACATTCAACTTCCCATATATCAAAACAATGGAGACCAAAGAGCTACATGGAATGAACAGGGCTGTAAACTAAGGATGCAAGTCATGGATTAATGAATTAATCAAAAATTGACTGATCTTACTGATTAACGATTAAGTGATAAGCTGTATTAAATACAGACTGAAAAAAAACAAATAGATGTTTTCTTAGTCATTATTACATTTATGTATAAGAAATAACAAAACAGGAGCCTATTAGGTAACTGAATAAAACAAAGATCACTAAAATAGGTGAAACGCTTTGATTTGATTTTCAAGGTAAAGACTATTATCAAAAGACAGATTATGTCGCTCTAACATGCTGTCAGATTATTTGTAAATAAAATGGACTCTAACTATCATATACCTCTCTGTTCCAAAATGAGTGCAGGTTTTTTTTTTTTTTTTGACGGCACTTTTTTTGACAGTAGGCTGACAGGAAAGAGGAGTATGAGAGAGGGAGAGAGACATGTAGGAAAGGACCACAGGTCGGATTCAAACTCGGGTCGCCCGCGTCGAGGTCTAAGGCCACCGTATATGGGTCGTGCACGCTAACCACTGCACCACCTGCACGCCCGAGAGCAGGGTTTCTATCAGCATGATAAACACAAACATTTTAGATTAAAGCTGATATATTTTGATATTAGCTGTTTCGCTGACATCAGACTGCTTCCCGATATCAATATCCAAAATAGGTGTACCCCTAGTAATAACATCTGATCCATTTTCAGAGGAATTTGGATTCACCAGTGTTCAACTTTGTGTGTTATATCTAAGGGTGTAAATACTTATGCACTAGTTAATTTTCATTTTCATAAAAAAAAAAAAAGTCTAAAACCCGATTTTCACTTTGTCAATATGGAATGTAAATTGTTTCATGGACAACTTGGATCAGCTTTATCCTGTAAGACAACAACATTTGAAAAAAAATGTAAAGAAGCTGTAAATGCTTTCAGGATGCACTATTTTCTCAAAAGAAAATAGTTCTTCACAAGTTTAATGCTGCTTCACAGAAATTTACAACACATACATTGTTTTTAAAATTAGTAACACTAAAAAACGGTTTGTAGGTCTCTCTTAAAGAGCACAGCTAAAGTTACCTGAGGTGATTTTATTTTAATCAATGAAAACTTCACTCAGCATCCTAAATGTTGTGAGTGACGAATTCCTTTTTAAACTAAAACATTTAGAGAAAGAAAGTTAACATTTGAGAGAGAAAACAAAAAGTAACAAACTAGAGTCAGAATTATTGCAGTACAGAGTTTAGGGAGATGTGGTTAGGATAGAGGATGAGACAAAGCCAGAATCAGGCAGGATGAAAGAGGAGGAGGAACGAAGCCGAAAAGCAGACTTAACCCCTGAGCTGCTGTGGTGTCTGCCTGCCCGGCTCAGAGTGCCATCCTCAGCAGTTTTCCCATCTATAATTACTGCCTGCTATCCATCATGCAGCCGCCAGTGGCTCACAGCGAAGCGCTCCGTAAACACACACACAGAAGCACTCAGGCACAAACACACACAGGGGAAAATCACAGAGCTAAGCACTTCAGCTAATAGAATAAATATTAATATCCCTTTTGTTTTCTATACCCTCATTTCCCCACGCACCATTTAAATGAAGTCTGACAGTGTGAAAAAGCATCTGTTTCACACTCAAAGATGAGCAGAGAGGGAGGGCAGAAGGGGGAGACAAAGGGAGTTAAAGCCTGGGAGGGGGAGTAGCAGAGGGGATGCTTGAGGAGGACAGGGGGATGCCGTGTGTGAGAGAGAGACAGTGTGTGTTTGAAGGATGACTCGAGCATCTCGAGTCATGTGTAAGTGGCTTTCTGTTACCCATCAGGCCCTAAATATGTCACTCAGACACTACAGTCATGCCATTATGGACCAGCACCCCCTGCAGCTGTTGCTGCCAGTGTGTCCCTGCATGTGTGTTGGTTACCAGAACACTTGTTTACCTAAGTCTCATTTTAACTTCAGTGGAACCTAATATCTGTTACACAATAAACCTGTTTGTTCATCTGAAGAGCGCAGCCTAAAGGAAGAGCTCTGAAATGATATATCAAGTATTCAGAAGTGAGGGAAATGATCCAATTATCATTTGAAATAAGGAAAAATCTGAAAAAAACCCCCAACTAATTTCACCTGCCTAAAGAAAACAGTAAAGGTGCTGGTCCCTGTGCAACATTATAACTTCAGGTGAACTCTCAAATAAAAATATTTTAATGTACAAAAATGTGTATGCACATTATTTAGCCAAGACTTGAGTGAATATCGTTTGAATCTTATAATCAAATTCTGCCAATCTAGTTCAGTTCTTATTTGGCAGACCTGGATATCGTTGTGCCATTTGGTTGGCCATTGATTTTAATATTTAAAGTTTCACCAACAACTCAATATGAGGTCATTTCAGTTGTGTGAAATTAAACTTAATAAGGTTTCTGACATTCTTTTGATTTACTGGGTTTTTACCTTCTCTCCTTCGGGACAGTAGCCTTTGACAAAGTCTTCGCACACTTCAGCCTTACGAGACACGTAGACATGGCTATAGGGACAGTCGCTGTTGTTACAGATTCCCTTCAAAAAGTATGAACACACTGGCATCTGTGGATACATGAAGACAAGAGGTAAGCAATAACAATCCAAGATAGAGTGACATAAATCTCCCAGTATTTCATATTTCACCATGCTTTACAAAAGTACACATACTCTTTGAACATCTTTTGTCATGTTAGAGCATCCTTCTCTACAGTTCAAGTAGCAAGACTTTAGGGGAATGTCTCCACCAGCTTTCCAAATCAGAAGCCGCAGGCTTTGCCTCCCTTTATTTTTTTGACAAACCAGTTTCAGATCCGTCAGATTAGATGGGATATTACCTTTTAAGTCTTGTCAAAATTCTCAATAGTATTTATGTCTCTACTATGACTGGGCAGTTCTACAACATGATTATGTCTGATCTGCAGCATCCCATTGTATTTTTTTGGTTTTAGGTCATTGTCTAACTAATTAGCCTCTACCAAGCATCAAGTCTTTAACTGATCCTGAACATTTTTCCTCAGGATTTCCTTGAATCAAGCTCTACCTAGTTATCATATACTCAGACAGACCCCGTCTCTAACTATAAAAACACAGGAGGCTCTGTTTTAAAATGGGTTTAAAGTGTATTTTACAAAATTTGTTTAATCCACACATATTTGCACATATGCAGAAGAACTTTTACTCCGACCAGAGTACCTTATTCTCCTTTATCTTTCTGTGTCCCCTTTGAGTAAACTTCAGACTTCTTATTGCTAGATATGAAGAGTACACAACTTATAACTGTCCTAAACACAACATCTCCATCATGAGCTGTAGATCTCTGTAGCTGCTCCAAAGATACCAGGGGCCTGTTGGCCTCTTGTCAGATTAATGGTCATCCTACCGAGGAGGGCAGTTTAAATGGACAGTCATCGTATGGTAGATGTACAGTTGTGCACTCATTTTTTACCTTTTGTATGACAGCTTTTCCAGAGCTCTGTGTGATGTCCTGCTCTAAGCTTCACAACTTTGTTCCATATGTGTCTATTTTACTACTTGATCTTCATGATGCTATTTGCCCACTATTGTCCCCTTAAATATAGCTGAGGTTCCAAAAAACAACTGTTTCTAGCTGGAATTGAATCATAGACAAAAAAAAAAAGAAAGTGTTTATGTTTTATAGGACATCTAAAGATAATTATTTGCTCTTGAATTTGTCTGGAGGTATCCAATCATAAGGAGTTTAGGAAGTTAGGGGATTGGTGGACTAGTGGTTAGGGCATTGCACTTGGACCCCAGAGGTTCTGAGTTCAAGCCCCACTCCCAGGAACTGCCACTCTGGGTCCCTGAGAACCTTTAACCCCACACTTTTTCCCGGGCGCCGCACAGTGGCAGCCCACTGCTCCCCAAAGGGATGGGATAGATCACGGGTGTCAAAGTGGTTCCAGTAAGGGCCGCGTGGCTGCAGGTTTTCTTTCCAACCAAGCAATAGCACACCAGACTCCAGTATCTCATAAAGTCATCATGTTCAGATTGGACTCACTTGATGAGATGACTGGAGTCTGGTGAGCTATTGCTTGCTTGGAAAGAAAATCTGCAGCCACACAGCCCTTTCTGGAACCACTTTGACACCCCTGGGTGAGATGCAGAAAGTTCATTTTGTTGCTTTGTACTTGTGACAATGTAATGACAATAAAGTTTAATTCTAATCTATTCTATTCTATTAAAGATATGTGCATTATTACAGGGGGACAGCTTGGTGTTCTTTTTTTCCACAATAGGGCTTGCAGGTGGGTTGGCTGGTGCATGATAGAAAAGCAAATTATTTTGATCTTAATCTTTCAGAAGGAAAACTTGGCTGCAGTGATTTGCTAAACAGTTTCATGAAGACAGAAATGAAACATAAAGCAAAAGACCGGAGTAATAGAGGGTGAAATTACATGACTTTGTAAACATACATGCGGTTCTGAAACCACACCACTGTCCAGTTCCCTACAGATGAGTCCCACGAGCTGGCCAATCTGTCACACTGAGCAGCTAAATAACCTTAATTGCAGCTGACAGGAGCAGCAGGAAAGTGGATGTGCGTCTTGACAGCATGTGTGTCTGTGTGCAGAGAGATGTCCTGTTTGACATGCAGGGGGAGGAGGGGGGCTAGCTCTAAATATACCACAGAGGGAGTTCAGTGCAGGGAGATGGGTGTGAGAGAGGCTCCACCTCACTGAGATGGGATCTCTTTTACCTAATTAACTGCTACAGAAATATTTATTCAGGCTGCAGCTCGGCCAGCCCTCATGATGTGTTTATGTGTCCTGGATGCGTGGACAGACCAGGGCCAGGGGTGGACAGGCGGGTAGCGTTCCCTGCTGTGGAGGGAGGGTGCGAGGGGAGTTGGCCGGCATGTATTTGGTTTCCAAGTATTTGTGGCAGCTGGAAGGGATCTTGGTAAGATAGTGTGGATATACAAGCCTGGATATCCACACTAGTGCCTGGATCAAGTTTGGAGAGGTGCAGGATGCATCACCCTAGAGCTGCCCCCACTCTTCCTATGCCCACATACAATTACCCCGTCTACTTTAGCCGTGTACAGCCCCACTTAGGGGATCTGCGTGAAATAAGAGTGGGTGTATCCCCTGGAGGGAGGGACGAGCATTTGCAGGTGAGGGGGGCATTGCAAACAGACAGCTGGGCTCTCAGCACATACAGACAGCGGGCTGACAACCAACACAGGTGCTCTGCATTGTGGGACTGTGTGTGAGACGGGTGAGGCCAGCAGGGCACCTGTTGTGGGTTGTTTGTCAATACAAAGAAAGCTTTCACTTTCTTGGCATAGCTACACTTTCTCAAAGAGGCCAAATAAACACGCTTATGCTTTTAAAAATCAGAAGACAATGATATAATTACTATTTGATTATAAAACAAATGTAATAAATAAGGTGATACTAAATAAGCAGATAACAAAAAAACAACAAAATTATTTGATTCTCTAGCTTTTAACATTGCTGTTTAGGAATGTTGGACCCTTGTTTTATACCAACATTGCCTCAGTTCACTGCTGTTTGCAGAGATTTTTTTTTGTACTGAACTCTGAAGTTCCAGCCACATTTTCTTTTTGTGAGGTATAAACTTTGACAGTACAGTTTCAAAAGCTAGATTCTCTTCTTTTTCTGATTACTTAGGTTTAAGGAGGAGTTTATAGTCCACTTAATGACTCCAAGGTGCCCAGGTCCCATGGCTGCAAAACCTAAACTATCACAACCTACAGAGCTTACTGAGCATTGTAGGACATGTGATGAGACCTGTGCAAATGCATACTGGTAAAAAAGAGTATCATCCAATTAATAAATGTTTTGCATGAGATAAAATGAATGGTTACCATGCAACAACATAGCACATTAAAAATATGAGTGCATCAAAATCCAAAGAGCTCTGATGATGTTCTCTCTTCAGCTCCAATCCACCACTGGGTCATGCCTTCCTAACTCCACACCGTCCATGGAAACAGGAGCTGTGCCAAGAGACCAAATACGATCCACGACGACTGTACCCAGCAGCTTGTCATCTTACACCGTCACAGTGCACCAAAGCCTGGCCTTCGCCATGAAAAGCTATAAAACACTAAGTTGTCTGACATGTAGGCCATGATGTGGGTGTATATATTACCTTCTCTTTGGCAACCTTGTGGGAGAATGGGCATGTCCCATCCGCCTGCTTGCATGTCCCTCTCAGAAACCTGCAGGAGGGAAACCATAAAATGAAGTTTAAAAAAGGAAAGTTGTTATGTAATGAGGCAGAAGGTGTTGACTTTCCCAAACTTTTACTCAAAATAAATCATTAACTTGTTGATTTAAAAAGAAACTATCCCACAAAACTTAAGGCAGCTCAGTCAGTTGCCTAGAGTCATTGACTTTTCAGCAAGTTCTCCTCCTCCTGAGTAAGCATGAGGGAAAACCAAAAGGCTAATCAAACGTGGCTTCAATGTGCATAAGATATTTTTGTACCCACCTGTGCTTAACAAATCGCACATGTGATTTAACTTAACACCTAAAAAGGAGAATTAAACATTCAACTGGGGGATTTGGATTGAGCTGGATTGGTGTGAATTCTGTCCTTCACTTCCTATAAACTTATAATTTACCTAGCAAATAAAAAAATAAGTAAAGCATATACTTTGAAAGGAGGAGATAAACAAAGACAGCATTTGTCTCTATATTCAGTCAGTCTTGAACCTTATTGTTACCTGGTGCAGACAGCCACTTTGTCCGGATCATGTATGAAGGGACAGCTTGTGCCACGGTTACACTTGCCAAAGCGGTTGTAATACATGCAGAACTGCTTTTGGTCCTTTTTCTGACGAGCGTGTCTGATGATGGCAATGCTCCGCTGGACTGCACGACTGGAGACATTGACAAACCACAAAAATCCATCATAAACTCAACGTTTGAGGTAATGTGAGATGAGAACATTTATCAACCGAGTTTCTGTTTCAGCTTTGAACCATGTGAGTGTTTCTGGGTACCAGTGTTCCCCATATACTAATTTTAAAGGATTACTTCTGGACTCATAGTCCTGAGCCGGTGGTGATGAAAGGCAGTTAATACTGTGGGAGAGTGAGGAGGATCAGATGCAAACATGTTGGCTGGATTTAGTTTCATGAAGTTGCCGTCATTTTAAGAGCACTAGCAGAATGACCCACATTTAACTCTTGATCATTTCAAACTTTGATTAACTTTCTCAAGCTGGTGCTGTGTAGGTAAAAGAACAGGCTAAACCAGTGCTGTGGGCGTTACCTGGCTAAATGACGGGTCAGGGCAGGAGACGTGTGTGGACTGGAGGACTTTCCTGAGGAGGAAGGGAAGAAACAGATTTATGTTTCCACACAAAACACAAGAAACTATTTAGCACAAGAGATATGCAAATCTGTATTGCTCTCCTTTCTTTCTTTCCTTTGTGAAGCCACTTTGTTTTTTTGTCCCTACTATCAACAGTTCTTAAAATCTGAATATTATTATGCTGTTTCTGAATGTAAACTCTCATTCGTCCATAGAGGATCATTTCCGAGGCCAATCTCAGAGGTGTAATAATGTAGCCAATGCAACAAGGACTTCTTGAGTTTTCAAAGTTTTAAAATGTAAAACCTTCACAACAGAAACCCCAGAAGGTTTTAGTAAAAAGAATTTGCTAAAAAATCTTCAAATCTGATCAAAAACAAATGTATTCAAGACAAAGAATCTGAAGTGTAATGATCGGCACTTTAGTATTACAATACTAGCTTAACACCAGCTATGGAGGATGTTCAGCAGAGGAAACAATGTAGACAATATGGAAAGCCTGGTCTTATATGTTTTTTTTTTGCAATTGTCTAGTTTTCCAAAAGTTTTAGTCTTCAATATCTGTAAAACTAGATTATGTAAATGAAATAAAAGGTTAAATTCTTCATTTACTTACTGGGGAAAAAAATAATTTAATAAAATATTATGAAATATTATAGTATAATAAGAAATAGAACATTTTTACAAGCACCATGAAAAAAAGTTAAAGGATATCTATAAGAAAAGTTTACATCAAATAAATTCCTATATAATGTTCTGACTAGAGTTGATTCCTTCTGGCATCACAAACCCCATCGCCATGCAGGGGACCAAAACAAATCATTTGGTTAGCCAGGCCAACATTGACCCTGACGACTCCCTTTTCAGAGGCATAGGCCAGTATTGAGTGTTGCATGCCAACAAAGAGCTCAATGACTCCCCATTACTAGGTGGTGGACCTGTTTTTTCGGTTCAATTTGCAAGTTTTCTAAGCCATAAGAAGGCTTTTACTTGTGCCACTCTCTAAGCCTGGAACTCAAACACCCCTCCAGTAGGGCTGTGAATCTTTGGGATTCCCACGATTCGATTAGGAATCGATTCTTGGGGTCACAATTCGATTTTTTCCCCCCGATTCTTTTAAATCCAAACAATTCGATTCAGAAACGATTAATTTACGATTCAAAATGATTCTCAGGATCTATTCCAGTCTGCTGGCATGAAAGAAGGGTACATTTATAAAGACTTTATAATTGTAAATGTTTTATTTACCTATTGCAATAATGTAAACACCGAAAGGTAAATCCAAGACAACATGTCTTGGATTTATACTGCTCGAATTTTTAAACTTGTACAAATACAACACTATGTTTTTGGGTGATGTCTTTGAAGATGACAACGGGGATTTGAAGTACTCCCGAAATACTTAACTTTACCATTGCAATCTCTGCAAATCGCAGAGTCATGTCAAGCCCTTTCTTACCCGGGCTGGGATAAAGGTAAAATCCAAAGTGTTTCCAAATGGTTGCTTTTAAAGACCACTGAGGCGGTTGAATTTCTTTTTTTTCGTCCTCCATACTTTAGCTGCAATAAACACAGTAGCTCACACAACACTACACAACACTCGGTAGCCTGCTAGGCTAACGCTTGCATGCCTGTGCATAGCTCATGCTGCTTATTGGTTTCGCCAAACACTACGGTGCCTGATAAGGCACATCCGCACCCGCAAAAAAAATCGTTTTTAAAGGAAACGAGAATCGATTCTGAATCTTTAAATGTTAGAAACGCAATTTGAGCTCAAATCGTTTTTTTTTTTCCCCCTTCTTTTCCGGCCATTTTGATTTGGGAAGGTTTCTTGGTTTGGAGGGGAACGTTTTTCAACTTTGGGAAAAAAGTGTCGTGTTTTTTTTTTTTTTTACTTTTTTAACTTTGTTGGAATGACTATGACATGGATGGCTGAGAATCTTCACCACGTTCTGTCTCAATAAATACTGAGAAATGTTTTATTTATTTAAACATAACCCTTAGAAGCCAACATACGAGCAATTTAAGCATTAAGAGATTATCCAGAATTTACAGCCTGACAGTCACACCAGTTCATAAACTCCTTCAAACTAACATATGTTGTGAAATGTTAGCGCAATATTATAGGCAAGTACATCCACATGGTGACAAAACATGGCTGCATATCTGGATGACTTAAAAAGAAAAGTTCTTATTTATTTGTTTTATTTAAATACAATCTTCTGCAGTTTGAACCTCCACATGTCAAGTTCTCTTAAAGAAAGCGACCATCATTTAGTCACATCAGATGGAGCCTGCAATGTGTGTTTGTGTGTGTGCAGACTCATGCAATAAGAACTTGATAGGTGACGGGTTATTTATACTGTGGTGGATTGACACATTGGAGCCAAGACGAATCGTGATGTCCCTTTTAGTCCGAAGACATCATAAATACCAGGCAGAGAAGAAGGTGAGGGTTGGTGGAGGCTATGAAAGGACGGAGAAGGTGAGGATGTAAAGGCTAAAGTTTATCTTAATCATGCTTCTAAATTTGGGACCTTATAGCTCACAACGCTGCCCTCAAGGATGGGCGCTTTAGGGTTGCTCAGGCACAGCATGGGGAGATTTCAAGACGTGAAACTGCAGCTCCTGTTGCACAGAAACCTGATGCATGTTCTGGAGGATGCAGGAACAGAGCGGGAGAGCACGTTGGGATGCCGGTCACGAGTTGAACAGCACACGGCTCTTCAATTTCACCTGAAGGTTTAGTAGAACAAGAATGTGGAAAAGAGAGGCAGGGAAGTGAAGTGGGGAAAGGCCGATCCGGGCTTTAATCTACACCATGCACTTCTCCGGGCCCTCCCCCTCGCCGCTCTGACAGATGACAACTTTATTATTTCAGATGGCAAATACAGCCTGCTCACATAAGTCTGTTATAAAGTATGTGGACGAAGCTTCAGCCACAAACATGAATAAACACGGCCATACCACCTTAGGGTGTACAAACACTTACAGTCCTGGACCTCTGACAGCGGTCCAGAACAGAACTGGCTGTAAAACCCAAACAGGCTGTAATTTTTAATACCAACTGAAATGTGTCCAAATCACTATATTAAAGCTAAAAGAACTACAAACAGATGCTGAACCAGCAGCAAAGATTTGTGGTCCAGTTCACTTTTTCTTTTCTCTGACTGCTCCTGATTCACAGCTAAAACTGCAGCAATCGTTAATATACAAAGCAACAATGTTCAACTTCACTCTTACACTTTAAGTTCTGCTTTGTTACCCACAAAGTCTGGCTATGATCATCTGAAATATTTGTTTCCGAGGGGGGGGTTTAAAAAAAACAAAAAGTGGGTACAGACCTTCGTTCCACTGACTGGTTTCAAAGCAGAGGCCATGAATCATTGCTCACTATCTTGGGTACGGCTGTTTAAATGCTTCCTTTTTTTTTTATTTTTATTTTTTATTATTATTACTTTTATTTTATTTATTTACTTATTTTTTTTATTAAATGCTTCCTCACACACAAACAGCAAACTGGTCGGTCTCACGGCAGCAACTCGGCGCTATTAGGTGTCCAGATGTGATCAACACAACTTTTTGAAATTTAAACCAAGCATCAGAATGAGAGGAAAATGCGATTGAACAGACTTTGAATGAGGTACAGTTGATGTTTCCAAATCAGCCATGGTTTCAAAATAGGGAAAGTCTATAATTTACTAATAACACAATATAATGGATTCGGAAATACATTAGAAAGAAGAGAAGACGTCGACATGACGGCTCCTGTGTGGATAAGAATTTTTCACTTATGTCAGACAACAGGCTTGTTCAAGATGTCAGAAAAGCAAAGAGTACATAAAAAATGTAAGAAACAAGGTACTATAAGTAGAATATCATCTCTAAATGATGTCAAACCTCGATGCTGATGGACTAAAACACTTTGGGCCCCTTAGGACCAATTAAGCTCAATTTAAACATCAGATCTTTATCATCATGTCACAAATATCTATTAATCTCAGATGAATCTCTTTTGACAGTGAGAATACTGTACATCAGTGGCCCCTATAGTAATCATACCTCAATCAATATAGAAGCACTGAGATGTGGTGGAAAAAGGAGACTCCCATCATGCATTTCTCTGAGGCTAATATGTCAATCTAAGATACAGTCAAACCTGTTTAAAAAAAGTCTCTCAATCGCTAAAAAATCTATACAGCAACATCTGTGAAGAGTTTCAGTATGTTTGAAACCCATAGAAGACGAGTTGATTTAATAAAAAAACAGAAGAAAAGAATATAGACTGCTCAATATATCAAGTATTTTTTGACACAAGACTTGGAAAAAAAACATCTCAACACTTATGTGTGAGACTCTTGACCACCTGTACCTCTCCGGTCAATCGATGTGTGTGGCGCCACTGTGCGGGAAAGCTTATTGGCAGACACCCGGTACAGAGAGCCTCGGATCCAGCACATTTCGGGCCCAGTCCAGCGTCGCCCGGATGCCTGGTGCCTGTCGTGGGGACCTCGGAGGCGGTTTTGGAGGAAAGTCCTGAGAGAAAGAAGTAGAAAAACAAAAAGTGTTGCTTTTATATGATTTAGTTTAAGGGAAGAAGTGTGTAGTGTTCAGATCTGACTTTTTTTTTTTTTTTTAAATGTTAAAGAACGTTATCCGCTCATCGCCCTGTTAATTCCACACCTCTTTCTGCCCTCCCACCCCCACCTCCAGCTCTTCCACAATACCTCCCCTCTTTACTTTATGTTTCCCATCCTGTAGTCCCCCCTCCCCTCCTTTTCCTCCCATGTCACAGCACTCTGTTAAATTGCTCCTCTAATGGAAAGGACGGCAGTGTGGAAATGGAGAGAATTGAAAAGAGGAGAGGAGGAAATCAATGAGATAATAGGCAGGGCAGGGGGCCAGAGCAGCGAGGTTGGCCCCTACGCTGGAGTGTACAGACCTCACACACACACTCCAGCTACAGTATGTACAATGCACACAATCACAGCTCTCTGCATCCAGGATTCAGTCAGTGGGCTGCTACATGTGTGCGGGCGGTTGGACATGAGAAGCTGCTGGGTGGTGGTGGGGCGGTGCAGGGGTTATAGCGATAAATTGCGCTGTCCTGTCACTTCTATTTGGGGTGGATTGGGGCTGGTGTGCAGGGCGCCGTTGGTGGTAATTTGCTGCCGTATTTCAGATGGGCTGGAAATGGGTTTAGAGCGAGAGTTCACGCCTCCCATTACGGAGAAAAGAGAGGGTTACCCCAAACGCACGTCGTGCACAAAACAACCTGCATGGACGGCTGACACGTGCACAGCTGCTGCAATGCTGCAAATAACAGAGAAAAAAGTAAATATCAACTCTCAGCTGCGTTCACGTCCATGAAGCACCTGAGTGTGAGCCATAACTCAGCAGCACAGACACTCAGCTTCACTGCTACAAGATCAGTGGCTGCCCTACACGGGGCAACTGCAGCCAGGGGAGCCATAATCAGGGCTAATGTTGAAGCTCTTACTGCCACCTAGGGAGGCTTAAACAAGAACAGGGTGGCCCCCACAACCACAGCGGAGGTTAATGAGGATATGACATGAGTAGTTAACACAGGCAGCAGTTAACCCTGACACCAGGCTCTAGTCAGGGGGTGACCAGGGGTGTTAATGCTCAGTGTGTTCCAAATGTTTATTCACCAACTTTGAACATCAGAGTGAGAAAAACACTAATCTCACTGAAATCTGTGGTGGATTTACGCTTCATGTCATTTCAGAGGAATCTTTTCCCATTCCTCATCGAATCATCTCTGATGCAACTTCTGAAACAGGAATGTCATATTTGGACTACATGACACACGTCTCCCCTGCTTCCTTTTTACATCACTCACCCTGAACCTGCAACGGCTATGTAACCATGGATATAGAAGAGTAAAACGCTGGGTTGGATGGATGGATGAAACCTTTGACATAAGGACATTTACTACAGAAAACATTTACTACAGTCAGTATAAAAGATAAAAGAGACGGAACATACTGTACAACAGCCGTATACTTAGCAACATATCTAGATAAATCTGTAGATTATTTATTTTGGAATAATAATCGGATAACCAATGGTTTCCAAAATAATTTTTACAAAAGTAAACCAGGTGAAACTAAAACTTTTCCATTTGACGAGTTCTGGATTTAGCATATTGATAGAGAAAAAAAAACTTTTTTTTTATCTTGAATGCAAATGTTTGAAAAAATGTTACCTTTTTATTTTTTACAACCTTGTTATAACTACTACTCTAAGTGAGTTTATCTGTCAATTAAAAGCATGTTTCTATTTTCCAGTTAACAATTAATCAATATCTAAATTAACTGACGATTTTTTCAATAATTGATTAATAATTAATATTCCGATCAATCATTTAAACCCTAAATATATCACAGAGCATTACTTTTAGCCTAATTAGTATATGGCTCTATAATTACAAAAAATACTCTGTATTAGTACATAAGAAAATACTAGACCATATATACAAATCCAATTTTTTAGTTTTTCCTGAAGATGTTATGCGATATATACTTACATATGTGTATATATATATATATATATATATATATATATATATACACTCACCGGCCACTTTATTAGGTACATCTGTCTAACTGCTCGTTAACACTTAAT